AAGTCACTGATCATACAACTATTAACCTCAGTGGAAGGAGAACTGGTCCAAAGACTATAAATAGATAATAAGCAGTAAATTCAGAGCCTCTCCTAGCTCTGGACAGCTGGAGTTTTTAAAAACCCAGTGGCTCCATGGCATAAGCAATGAAAAACAGGCTACAGAACTCAGCCACAGGAATTAATAAAAATGACCGAAGGTCATCTGTAGTCTATCAATCACTGTATCATTTACACTTCATATTAGAATAGAAAGGTATGAATGTCGTCAGTGTTGTACACTGGCTACTCTGAGTTCTATCATGAATTGACAGAGGTGATCCATTTGAGTCCCAGCCTATTATTCAAAACTCTAAACCTGCCGTTCACCAACGGCACAGAGCACTGCAGATGAAGGATGGAGGGGCACTATAGGGAACTATTTTCAATGATGCATGCAGTGATGAGGGAATGCAGATTATCTGAAAACAAAAGCTGAATTTTTCTGAGACCCAAGGCACTACCCTTTCTGAAGTAGGAAAACAGCATTTCATGACTACCTGTTTTGCACAATTTACTGTCAAGAATAAAATACACCAGCTAAATAGGAACTTGAGGTTTCAGTCTTAAATCTCTTAAAAGCTCGGCTGTTTGAGTTGAAGGCTGAGAAGTGCATTTGCCCCACATTCCCTCACATATTTTGCATTGAACATCTAGCATGTGTCTTCCTGATAAAGTGACATTGACCTACAATCAAAGAATAAAGAGCCTTGCCACTACGGACCAAGGTTTTGATGTTACTTTTAAAAGAAGTAAGTAATAAACCAGGAATAGCTGTATTTACAAACTACACTAGGTGCCTGAGGAACTAAGACTTGCAACACGACCTGCGCTGTATTAATCCTGACACAGCTGTTACCCAAGTAGCTTACTCCACAATGGCATTAATTCCAACAGTAGCAAATGGCAGCATACCTTTGAGATTTGGAGCAAGGTAAATGTACGAAATAAGAATCTATTAACTACTAACAGTCCCACTAACTACTGCCTTGTAAGATAGGGCAATTTATTTACAGTTCACCATGACTGAACTGAAGAATCACCATCTTGGACTCTCTAAGTCCATACTGCAGGGTGCAAAACAGATCATAATTTCATCTTAGAATTACGAAGGTCAAGCTCACTGAGCTGCCTTTGTATGGTTTATAATGTCAGAATAATCCTTTACTACAATGACAGCCTGAGACATTGAATGTGATTGTCTAAGAACAGCAGCCCCACTGTTTACTCCTTACAGCAGCAGCTCATCAGCAGCATTTGAACAAGCCATGACAGTTACATCCTTTGACAAGCAACACCTGAAACACCTTCCTTACCTTCACACATTCCAGGACCCAACAGAAATGTAACATTTTTTTCCATTAAATATGAGAGGTAGGTAGTCAAAAGAAAGATTTCTCTGCAAATTTAGGGACATCAGAGCCTGCTTTTAATTCCCTCTGCCAAAACACAAGGCCCTGTCTAGACACCAGCCTTAAGGCACTCTCTTTGCATATAAGGCAGGCCAGGGTATACTGGAAGCGTAACGATTGTCAAAAAACCTGTTTGGGCTTTGGCAAATTAGTAGTATATATTCTGCAGACAGCACAGTTCTTAGGCTTACGTCTGACAGAAGCAAAAAAATGCTACAGTCTTTTTGACAAACTCAAACTTTCCTTGCCAAAAGCCATCCTCTCTCCAACTCAGCCTGTTAGGAAACCGGCCTGAAGAAGGCTTTGTTCAAATCTCTACTTTTTCCTACTAGGAGATAAATTTTGTTTATTTTGACTGAGTTTTGGAGCCTGCATACTTTGGTCTTGTGGATTCCAAGATCAGTAATACTGGTTTTGTACTTTACTTCACAACCTCCCACTCATCGTTTCCATCAACTCCAGGGTGCCACTTTTTGACCAGAACTAATTAACATCCTGCCTGAACAAAAAGACAGCACCCCTTCTTTTACACTTCTTGTAAATAGCAAAGCCCAATCTCACTCCCATCTTCACGTTAAAACACTTTCTTACACCAAGGTCTTGTACAGCAGCTTGCGTGTAGTGGTCAGGCTGTATACACCTTACACATACACAGTCGGTGCTTGCTTTGGATGGGGTGGATTCTCAGCTATTCCACTCCTGAGGCTTACGGATACAGGCTTCCAGGCAAGTGGATGAATCCAGTGTGAAGCACCGTTTTGGCCACAGGACAGTTGAAGAGACTGAACAGTTTTCACTAAGAAATTTCCAGCTGAGTTGGCTGAGCCCTTGGTATGGTGGCAGAGTGGAGAGAAGGGAAAACCGGAGAGGGAAACGGATCTGATTGCACACAAATAGTTTATCACTAACTTACCTCTGCTGCTTCCACATAGTTTCTCAGCTAGTTATGAAGTCAAAAGGCCCATACAATATTTGACATGGATAGGCAAATACAAACAACAACATTTAGTAAATCAATTATGAAGATTAGCCTTGCGTTACAACATCTGAGCAACACACAAGATCTGAAGCTCAAATGAACTTCGTAATGTAGGAAAAAACTAATTGCACTTTAAAGAAAGCCTAGTAAAATTACTGCACAATCAGAAGGCAGTCATTTATTAATATGTGATGATCATGTATTTCTGTTCTTTTTAGTTAGGCTTAGATCTGAAGTATGAGCCTTATATGGAAAGAAGCTTTGATGACAGTAATTTATTTGGGAAAGCTTTTCCAGCCTTTTTGTTTCACACAAATGATTTGAATGTTTAAAGCATTTAAAGAATTTCACATCTAGGTATTAATAAAGAGATGTTGTCTTTTCCATCTGTTATATTTTCATTAAGCTTTCAGTGAAAATGCAGCTGCTGACTTATAAGCAATTCAAAAATAACATATATACAAGCAGGCAGCCATTTTCACAGTCTGGCAAGTAACCCATTTCCATAAATAACAAAGAATACAGGGTCATGATACCAGCTGTTCAGAAATTTTAAAAAGTCACAATGCCTCTAATTTTGCAGCAACTATTTGCCAGATTGTTTTTATTTATGGCTTGAAACTGAATTCAGAAATGCTGTCGCTGAACTTTAAACACTATGCTCCCAACTGACTGGCCGTCTCTCTGCTATTTTCTCACTCAACTTCCATGTATCTGTGTCCACACTGGCCCACAAGCTGGGCTTGCAAAGGTTTGTGAACATCTGAATCTGCTCCTCATGCATTTGTATGCACACATCGCATTCACACATTAGGTTATTTGTTCATATACATGGTCAGCTGCCCTGTTACCTGGCTCTTCAGGCGCATAACATTAATTGCATTGTACAGCAGCTTTAGATAATTAGACACAGCTGTATGTTTGAAAATAGTAACACGCAGCGGGAAATCCTGCTGGAAGATCTTGGTCATAAACACTTTCATAGTTCTCAGATATACCATTATCTACTCCTTAACTCTCTGGTTTGATGCCTGTTTGAAGTTTTCTCTTACTTCTCCCTTGGGGACTTTGCCAAGCATTCCACTTGAAAATGATTGTGTGACATTGTCACTCGGCTTCTTTCTAATCAAAAAAATCATATATATAATTCTGTGGAAATGCAAGCTGTTTCCTTGAAAGAACCAGGGAAAAAGAAGAAACATAGTATTTTTAACCAGAGCTGATGGACAAGAAGTGTTTGGTAATTTTTTTTT